CACAGGCAACATATATTTAGCCTTAGAGGCAAAGCCGAGGGCAAGAAAAAGCACAGCCTTCATTTTTGTTTAATCAGATTAGGAGCTGTTCGCTGTAGGCAGTGAAATCTCTGGTGTACCATCAGCAATAAAGACCCTGCAGCCACCAGAGAACACTTTGATTTATGTGCGTTTTTCATCATATTGACTGGACACGTCTGATCTTCTCCGCTGTAGGAAGTGACTGGAGCTGATTCCGATGGGTTGCCCACACACCTCCGTCCGTTCACCAGCGAAGCAGAGTATAAACTAGTAAAAAGTACTTACCAGCAGCTTCTGCAGAGTGATTACTACTGGGGATCCCTGACCATGGAAGAAGCCCACGGAAAACTCAAAAATGCTCCTGCTGGAACCTTCCTTATCAGGTAGTCAGCGCTGTTTTTCTTTATTTCTCTCTTTAACTGTTGTGTTTTTTTTCCTGCTTTTTTCCCCCTTCATCCTATTAAAGCTAAACCAATGCAGTCCATCTCATTTGCCAAGCTCATGTGTAGTGACTGTACACCGCTGTGCTGTTGCAGGGACAGCGGGCAGCCGGATGTTTTCTTCACTCTGAGTTACCAAAGCGACGATGGCCCGACGAGTATTCGCATCCAGCTGAACAAGCTCCACTTCAATCTGTTTGGCAGCCAGAGGACTTTTCCTTCACTCTTTGCTCTGCTGACTTACTACACCAGCTCCTGCTGTAAACTGACGCTGCCCTTTCGTATTCACCGCCCTGAGGGTCTGAAACAGATGTGCAGGAGGGCCTTTGTAGGCGTGTTTGGAGCAGATAGGATAAGCACATTACCTGGTCTCAACAAGCAAGTGAGAAGCTACCTTTGGGCATACCCTCACCCTATATAGACCCATGTGCTCCAAGTTTCTGTGTCAGGACGTTGTGCTATCACAAGGATAAAGAATTTTATTTCTTACTTTTTAAAGAAGTTATCCTTTGTACTATAAATGAGAGATAATAGAAGATCACTGCAGGTGACTGCTATGAATGATATTATTGGAGAGACAAGCGAGTAGAAGGCCGTAACCATCAGAGGTAGAAATGGCTACATGAGGTAATTCAGGCGACCTGCGGCACAGATGGACAACCTGAAGGTTTCTGGTTGTTGAGAGGTTATTTGCACACCTTCTGAAAATGTATTGTTTTACAGATTTGACAAAGTACGTGTTAACGTTGTTCTGTTTTGGGGGTTTTTTTTGGGGAGGGGGGGGGGGGGTTATATGCACTGTCAGAAGTCAACAATGATTATTTATATAACTAAAGTTTCTAGCAATTTTCCCTGTAAAGGCTGCACCACTGCCTGTATGGTGACATTTCAGTTTGTCGTGCCTATGAAAATGTCATAACTGCTGCTGTTTAAAGCTGCACTAGCTGATATCTGAACTTATGAACGCATGAGCAAGCAGCCATGTCAACAGCTCATGAACGTGAGGGTAAATCAACTGTAAAAATCCACTTGGAGTGATGGTTTCTGGCTCGTTCCTTCTCTTTCTTTTTTTGTGTTGCTTGTTTGGTAACATTAGGTTAATTATCTCAATATCTTGGTACAAAGGTTCATTTGCTCTGGATGATGGGGGGAAACAGAGGAACAGATTCCAACCGCTAAATTGATGTTTATAATTCACAGAATTTGCAGTTAATACGATTCAGATATCGGTTAACATCGCCGCGGTTCTTTATGAGGTTGCAGATGTAATCTTCCCATTACAGAAGGAATCCTCTTTTTCTGTTATCTCACAAAAAGAGGATTCCTCCAGCTGTAGCTGACCTTAGATTCTGTAGTTTTGCTCTCACCTGTATTTAAAAAAAGCATCGACTTTGTGTTTTTTGTCTTTCTGTTGGGGTTTTGTGTTGGCCTTCTCCTGCCTGGCTGTCAAGGGGGTCGGCTACAGCAGCTAAACTAAGCAGCAGAGTTGACTGAATGTTTGTTTTCGTCACTTTCGTCTGTGTAGATTCCACCATAATTCTTTTTTTATGTAAAAGTATTGATTAATGCAACTGATCAACACTTGAAATGATTCTAGTTACTGTCTTTGGTCTTCTGGTACAATATGCATGTAATATTGTCTTGTTCATATTGAATAAATAATTTTTTATACTAGATAAAATATATGTAAACCTAAGACTTGATTACTGCCCACTCAAAGACAGGAAGAGGAATACAAATCACTTCCTTTCTAGTAAGTATGTAAGCTTTGAAGGTAAACATGACAAAAACCTAGAGAATTTTTCAAAACAAGAGTAAACAAACACAAGTGTAAATATATTAGTTTTTAGCTGTTTTTTGGCTTTTATTTTGGGGGGGTTTTAGCCATTGAAGGTTTTGGTCCTGTCAGTTCACCAACAGCTACACTGTGCAGAGCATTACGAGACAGTAGTGTAAAAAAAATGACGCTTTGCTTGCTATGCTCTGCTCAACTTTATGACAGTGGGAAATGAGTCTATTTTTAGTAGTTGTTAGTAACAGGATACACATGTACTTCTCAAGATGCGATTGAGGTGCAGGTTTTAATCACTTTTCATGCATTTTCAGAGGCTCATTATTAATCGGACAGCTGACCGACGAGCACTTTCTTTATTGCACATCAAACAGCTATGACCTTTAAAATATTTTAAAGTCACCTGACTTTAAAATATTTTAAAGTCAGGTGACTTTTGTCTTTTTATCTAAACAATAGATCAAAACAAACTTAATTGGCAAGTGAAAGCAAAACTTAAAAAAACAAGTAAAAAGAAAGCTTTATGCGCCACTCTCCAGGCAAAAGTCTCGCCCCTACCTTACGTTATCTGTAAACTTGACCTTCTTTTTGCAGTTTTATTTATTTATTTTGCAGTTTTAAAGTGACACATATTTCAGAAACAATAGTTTCAGATTGTTAAAGGACCAATGCGATGGTTTCAGTGGAAGCCTTGTTTGCATTCCTTTTCTGAAGTGTTTAGTATGAATCAGTCACAAAGATCACCTCTGTGAGCATGACTAACTACATGTCTGTGTGATTTCATTTTAACCAGACTGACTCTGTGTGGGTGAATTAAGGCCCACGGCTTATTTGGGCTCTGTGCTGCGTTTAGCGGTGTTACTCCGGCCTGGTATAAAGCTGACGCTCAGCTGAAAAGCTTTTTGATCATTCGTTCAGATAAGCGGTGCGCACACAATGCAGTGCAAAAGTGTGCACATACGCACATTATAGATTTTTTGTGGCTTTCCATCATCTGTTCCACTTCCTGTCCTAAATCTGACTGGCAATGTCCCCTTTAGTCTAAATTAGCCCTGCACCAGGGACACACACACACACACACACACACACACACACACATATCCACACTTTCCTGATCCTCAAATTATCTTTGTCTCATTAACCTTAAACAGGCTGATGTGAAAAAAAAACACCACTGCTGTGACACACATAAACGCGAGGAGAGCTTATTTGTTGAACCCCTTCCAACAACAATGCAAAGGTAAAGAGCTTTTTATAAAAGGCTTGTTAAGCATTAACAGCTCATATCAGGAGCATTAAAATGGACATGCTCAAAGGCCTGTATAGATTTTAAAAGTGCTGTGAGTTACACCAGTGAGAAAATAGCCCCATCTGTCTTTATTGCTTATATATAGATACCGTATTGGAAATATGCCCATGTCTGTGGGCAGGCACATCATCAGCCTGGGCTTTCACGGCTGGAGCCTCGGGATCTTATTAATGAATAATATTAATCAATAATATGGCAAATACATAATCATCACATCAAAAATTTGATGTTTGGATCATTGAATTGGCATGTGATGATTGCATTGCTTTTACAACCAGTGCAGGAGAGGGAACAGGAGGAGTGGGCAGAGGAGATGAAGAGTGCAGCAGGTTGATGACACAGTAAAAGAGCAGGAAAGGTGATGAAGAGGTGAGCACAGAAAAGACCAGACAGAGGCAGCACAGTTTGGAAGGGCTCAATATGACACAACAGAAGCAGAAACAACGAGAAAAACTGAACTAACATTATCAATGTGTCAACATGCAGCCTTATACATGAGTGCTTTATCAGCATTGTGGTTTTACTACTGATGCTCAAAGTCAGCCTAAAGCAGGGATTACACTTTCTGCTAGGGGTTAGATGGCTAGCGCGGGGCTCCACGTGGACGTCCACATGCCTTCCCGATTTACATCACAGTACAGCAGCTGTGAATCATAATGTGGTGTTCTTAAAGCAGATGTCAAAGAAGTATAGAGTCAATGAGTCCATGTCAGTGTCCACAAAGGAGTATAATCTAGGTTTAGCACCCCTGACTTTAACCATTAGCTTTGATATTTGATAATAATTTTACTTTATAATCTAACTTCAAAAATGTGTTTCTGAGCGAAAATCCAAGAAGATTTCAGGGATGGGTCGAGGCACCACTGTTGTAAGGTCTTGGCAACGCTTCTGTTTGTGACCCATAAAGCTGGAAGAGACCACTTCTCTCTTCTTGGTGTCCTACTTCCCCTGTCCTCAGTATTGAGGGGTGGGCTCATGTTTGAGCAGGACCTTCAGTTTGATCCCAGCTGCACACCTGAAATCTCTGTATAAGGAAGACATTCTAAATATCTTAGTCATAGTTCCTGCTATTAGGTGTTTCCCAGGTCACATTTTACTGTGATCTCACACACACGCACACACGCACACACACACTAGAATTGTAAATAGAGTCAAACAATGAAAGGAATTGTGTTAATGAATGAATGAAACCGTTTCCAAACTCCAGCACAGCTTGAGTGTGACTAGTTATTATTATCAAAAAACTGCTGGGTGTCCCGTGTGGTCGCGCGATCCCGGTCATAGCTATGAGCACGCCTCTTGCACGCGACTGCGTGTTTATATGACCTTTCTGACCGGTGACCCTCAGGAGGGGACCTTATCGCTCAGGGGTTACAACAACTGGAGTGGCACGCGTGCGTGTGTAGTACTTGTTTATGTAATGCCATATGTAATTGTGACCGCTCGCGTGTGCGTGCGCGCGCTGGATCTGGCGCGAGCTGGTCCAGCACCGCGGCGGCGACAGCGGTCGCACGTTAAACATCAGCCACCCATGCGTGTTATTCTGCGGACTGGGGACTCGTGAGATTTGAGCTGTGCGGGCTTGACCCGACAGATGGGAGGGCGCTCGAGCTCCACCGTTTTCACGCACGGCACGCACGTCGACCCGGTGAAATCGTCACGCTGATAGAATCTGTGGAATCTGTCGCGAGTGTTCCTGCGCGCGCGGTCGGAGAGCATCCCGACAGAGAGCGAGGTCCGGTCGGTCGGTCTGTAGTCGGTGTGGGTCCGCGGAAGGCTTTAGCGTGCAGGGGAGCTGCAGAGGGACTTGCGCTGGACTCCTTGGCCGAATCAGAGCATCCCATTCCCGGCAGCATCCATCCCTCCGCGCCTCAGCTCCAGCGGGAGGCCGGGAGCGGCGGCAGGATGTAGCAGCGGATTAACGGAGGAGAGAGGGGCGCTCAGAGGAAGAGAGCGGGACCGAGGCGGGACGGAGGGGACATGGGGAAGGACCAGGAGCTGCTCCAGGCCGTGAAGACCGAAGACCTGCTGACAGCTCAGCGGCTTCTACAGAGACCACGGCCAGGGAAAGCCAGTCAGTATCCATCCATCCATCCTCCTGTCTCTGTGTCACACACACACACACACACACACACACACACACACACACACTGCCCGTCATTATCAGGTCAGGACAGTGCAGGCTAAATCTGATGTGATGCCATTTAGCCTAAATGGTGCACTGTGCGTGTTTGTGTGATGGCGTGCGTTTCTCCTGCACGCGTGTGTGTGTGTGTGTGTGTGTGTGTGCTATGACGTTGAGTTTGTGATAGTGATGACGTTGCACATGTGTGAGAACAGTCATCAGGATGTAATCTGAAATTAGGAGCGCTTGTCATCCCATTCCCCACAACTGATCTTTTCTGGGTGTGTGTGTGTGTGCGTGTGCGCGCGTGCGCGCGCGCGCGTATGCGCGTGTCTACGTGCGTGCGCGTGTCAGACAGAAAGGTGGAAAGTGGGTACGCACATAGGCCGTGCACCGCTCGCGGGACAGGGGGATTATTGGTGTGTGAAGACGCCAGATGTTAGTGGTAATAATGTGACGATCGTACACGTGCAGACATTTGCGTGCGCGCGCACAAATGTGATGCTAAAGCATGCATGTGCGCGGGTGCCTAACATGGAGTCAGCTGGGACTTGAGGTGATAATTAGATTTCAATTACAGCGCTGAAACATCTCTCCTCCTCTGCAGTTTCACCATAAGACCCCTCTAAGCGCCTCTGCTTCTCTTCCTTCTCTCACCTCATTTCCTCTGCTCTGGCTTCTTCTCGCCTCTCCTCTCCCCGTGTTTCATCTTGTCTTCTCTCATATCATCTCTTGCCTTCTACTCCTGCGCTTTCCCTGTCTCTACCCTACCCCCCTTCTCATCTACCGTCCTGTGTCATTTTCTTCCTTCACTCATATCCTTTCACGTCCTGTCTCCTTCCTGCCTATTCACCTGTTTTCCCCTTTTTTCATTTCCTCCTTCCTCCCTCACTCGTACCTCCTTTCCACTCCTTCTAACCGTGCCGCTCATGTTTCTGCCTCTGTCATCTCTCTCCTCTTCTGCCCCCCCACCACACACACACACAAGCAGCCACACACAGCCGGTGTTTCCTCCATGTTCCTCTCCTGCCCCGTCCTTTTCCTCTCTTCTCGTGCGTTGTTTGTCTCTGAACATTCCAGCAGTGCTGTGGAAAAGAAGAAAAAAATGCTTCTCCTCAAATGCCAGAACAGATCAGGCCTGAGTGCTTAGTCCACTGCACACTGACAAAGAGAGAGAGGGTGGGGTGGGGGGTTGTGGGTGAGGGAAATGAGGGTGAGGAGGAGGGTTAGCATGTAAGCAAGTGAAATGTTGAGATATGTATGCAGAGAGGTCAAGAGACAGGACGTGTTGGAGGGAGGTTAAAGAGTGTGTGTGTGTGTGTGTGTGTGTGTGTGTGTGT